CTATGACAAAATTAGAAAGATTGATTGTCGACCTTAATACAACAATAAAATAGAAAGAGGATATATAAATATTATTAGAGTTAAAAAATGTATTTATGTGTGGATGCATGTATCATGTATGTAAAATATGTACAAACTTATACATATATATGTTGTGATATGATATAACCTGATAAAATTCAACTAGTGTAGCATATATATCAAACTATAAAACAATTGACACAATAAAATAACTATCATAATTGTATAACAAAAAAGAAAACCCATAAAATAACACTATATAATACAGATTCATACAGAACTCTTATCATTGGGTTGACCAAACGGATCATTACATCATAAAATAATATAACTATCAATTATTACCTTAATACATGATTTGCAATTAACTAATAACCCACCAATTTCTGTAATAAAAAAATTGTTAGTGACGAGATACAAATAAAAGACAAAAGATAGAAAGATTCTAAGACTTAATGAACTCTTTTAATTAACTCTAGATAGTTGGTGAATATTTTAAAAATCTCTTTTTTTTTGTGTGTGAAATGCATTAAATATCATAATAAAGAATATTTGGATAAAATTAACAATGGTATAAAATATAAATGTAATAAAACGAATATGAGGAAAAAAATCATATATATATATATATATATATTTCAAAACCCTTTTGCAATCACCGTCTAAACCAAAAGTTACATACCAAGTTTCCGAATTAGGATTTGTAGTCGTTTTCATTTAAACTTGACTTCGATTCAATAGTTCAATGAATTTAGACAAGAATACAGTAATTGTAATTTTTGTCCTTGAGAATATTCCGGGCTCTTATAAGTTATTATACCTAACTACTATGTTAGCTTAATTAATTGATTTGTACATTTATGTAAGTAAATAGCAACAAAAATACGTACCCAACTGCATGTCAAGAAAGAAAACAAGGAAAATAAATAGCATATATGATAAGTTCTTTGAATTTTATCCATTTATTTGAAATTGATAGCTTTGGGATTATGTTGGGAGAAAAAAGATTCTACTTCTGTTGGGATGCAAATTAAAGTTGCCCAAAAACATTGAACAATGTTCAACAATAATTATGATCCTTAAACCTTATAATCCTCTTTCTTATTCTTTTTTAATTAATGAATAAAAATAATACTTTCTTGATATATAATTATGAATCTTTGATTAATCATTTCCACATGTCAAGACGCAGTGAAGACTGTACATCTAACCAATCATAACGAAACTTGATTAAGTGCTAAATAACTAACTAATTAGGATTAGAAAAGTGATTAGGAAGGGGCAAGTTTGGCTGCTAGCTTAAAGAATGACTAGATGGGACAGTCTTGCACATGGTTCATGGGCCAGATATGCAGCATAAAAAATACTACAAGGTATTTTAAATGTCTTATTTTAATTTAATTGTTTTTATTATTTATAAATAAATAAAGAAATAAATAAAGAGTAAAAGAAGTAGGATAATTCTTAGTACCGGAAAGTGGTACTTATGGAGTCCAATTCAACTTTTAGGCACGTTAGATTGTCAACACTAGAAAGTAGAAACCAGCTATTCGTCCCATTATCGTAATTATCACCAAAATCGAAGGGTATATGTTTACACAAAACATTATATATACTCAACTATCCCCACATCATTTAAAACCCCCTCTTACTTTTCCAACTTCAACAAATTAATACACGACGAACAAACAACATCACATTTACAATTTATTTCCCCCCAAAAAAGGAATTCTCGTACTCATAAAAAAACATGTCGGCGTGCAGCAAAATCCGCCACATTGTACGACTGCGCCAGATGCTCCGGAGGTGGCGCAAGAAGGCATCAATGGGGGCGCGCCGCCTACCCTCCGACGTGCCTGCAGGACACGTGGCGGTGACCGTCGGCTCGAGCTGCAAACGTTTCGTTGTCCGAGCGACTCACTTGAACCACCCCGAGTTCAAGAAGCTGCTCGTCCAAGCCGAGGAAGAGTACGGGTTCAACAACACCGGCCCGTTAGCCATTCCTTGCGACGAGTATCTTTTCGAGGAAATTATCCGGTACTTGACCCGTATGGAATCCAGTTCGGCCCGTTTCACGAGCTTCGAGGATTTCCAGAGATGCTGCCATGAGGGTTTCCAGAGCAACATTAAGTTTTGGGCTGAATCCAGGCCTCTTTTGGATACGGGTTTCTGATGCCATATTTCGACCCGGATAGTCGCGCGGCTTATCAATCCCCCAAAAAATTGATCAATTCTTTTTTATTTTTTTAATTTTTTTTCGATAATGTTTATTTTGTAATTCTTTTACGTAAAATTGTGTCGAGCGGGGCGGTGTATTTGAACGTGCTCCAGCGAATATACGGTGGAGATGGCAAATTGGTAGGCAGGTCGATCGCCACCGAGTCATCCCGGGTTCGGATCAAGAACTAATATTATTGTATACTAATGCGCAGAATCAATTGATGATTATTGTATATTTTCTTTGTTTTTATGAAAAAAATTGTAAAGGATTTAATTATTCAATGCAACCATATATATACCATGTTATTTTTTATTTTTTTAATAATTGTTTTATTTAGAGTAAGTTATATATATTGTTTAATACTGTAGTTTAGAGTTGTTATTGGTTGGCATAACGTGATAGCCGTTGTGGGAGTTGTAAGGGCAACAACCCATGTGAAATCAACGCCACCCAATTAAAATATTCTCCATTCTTATTTAACCAATAAAATAAATATTTAATTATGTTTTTCCTACGTAGATAGTCTGCTAATTAGTTCTACTCCAAAAATTATGAGTCCTAATACATTATTGACTTATTTTGCTAAATACCTCTTAACAAATTGATTTTATTTATTTATTATTTAAGTAATTTTTTTATGAAATAACAAGTTGATTTGTTAATCTTAAATATTAATTTGTCAAACATCCTATTTAATTTGTGGCTGTAGGGGGTAAGATGAATGTGTCAACTATTTATAATAATTGTTGAGAGAACACAATTATTAACTTGTTATTTTTCTCAATGAACGAGTTTTGGAATACCGCACTTTATAATTAATTCGTGGGAATTTTTTAATTTCACATTATATCATATCATAAGCTTCAATTATTTTGAATTGTTCGATTCCACAAAATATAAAATTGTTAATTTTTTTAATAATTAATTAATCTACATTGTCAGATAGCTCTCCCCAAGGAAAAAAAGAGAGAATATTTTCGTCGTGGATTAACTAAAAGTTAACTCCAATTAGTTCATAAATGTAGATTAGTTTAATCAAGGATTGAAGAGTTCGATGATTAGAAGGTGAGTAGTTAATTAGGAAGACTGGTCAAAGCATGACACATTTTTGAGGAAACACATGTTTTAGTCAGAAATTATCCCTTCTTTAATTTTGTCTAAATTTTATGAAGATATAAAATATTAATTTGTGGGACAAATTACGGCACACATTGAGGTAACATTAAATTATGATTTTTTTTTTCTCGGTAATTACAACTATCCCCAACTAAGTATTCTCTTACGAAAGAACCCCTCATTCATTAGATAAATTCGACGTCGTAATTGTGGACGTATAAGGCAATACAAATTTGATGGGCGATATGTAATTACTCAAATATGATAAAGTTTTTTGGTAATTTGATCATATTTAAGGATTGACCTAGTTTGCCGTAATTTGTAAGAGTTGCTAGCCCATTTAATGTTGACTGGGCCAAAATAATTTTTTTTCAGAAATTAACAATGATTAAGCACATTATTAAAGATGTTTATGGGCCAAATGGGCATATACTTGTATTACTTGTATTTGTGGGCTTTTATCAATGTAATGTTATGCTGGAAAATTGCAGACAACAATTTGGCTTGGCCCAAATTAATTAGTGTAGACTGTCTTTTGGTTGAGAAAAAATATTTGAAAAAGGCTCTGCACAGAAAAAATATATTGCAATGTTTAATTTATGGTTTTAACTTTTAAGGATATTAATAAGAAAAAAAAAGTATCATATAGAATTAATATGAGTTGGCCTTATGTAGAAAAGGCAAAGTGGAATCCGATGTAAAAACACAATGCTTTATAGTTATTATCCAAAAGAAAATTAAAGGTACAAAATTCCCAATTAATTTATCTATTACCAAAATTAAACATGGATATAAAGCAAACACCCAAAATAAAATGATTATGAAAAAAAAAGAAACTTGTGGGAGAAGTATACTTGTCCAGACATTACATTATGGGACTGGGACATACAACTATATAGCATCCATCTTTATTCTACCTATCCTACTCTATACACATTCGCCTAATTTAAAAGGTTTACTTTATTATTATTATATTATTATTATTAAAAAATAAATAAATTAAGATGCTGTCATTCAGTAACTGTAGCTGGCTAGATAGTGGAATTTTTTTATTTCTCTTTTGCTGTTAGCACTACTTGACACTCAACCACTCTGTATAATCCATTTTTGATTAATTTATTTGTTTAGGGAAAAATAATAAACTAATACATTAATGGATTTAATGCAAAAAAATACTATTGTGCTACTTTAATCCATTTGTCAACATTTTTTCATGACTTATTTAGGAAGGCATGAGTTTGTTGAGCGTTACAACTTACAACCTTAATAAGGACCCTGCAATAGTTTTTGACTTGTGGTTTTTCTGATTGTTGACATTTCTATGACTATTTTGACTTTACGGAACAAATTTCCTCTACTTTTAAAATGCCAATAAACAAACTTATTTGAGTTTGGTAAATAAGTACTTTTTGCTCTATTTTGACTAAGTCAAACATTTCCCCCTTGAGTTGGAACTATTTCTGATGCCGATTTAATGCTGCCGACAAATGCCTGATTAGGAGCCCCCAAAAACCGGTGGTAGGTAAAACATGGGTCGCTCCGACCCGACACAATCCGGACGCGGTTTAGGTGGGTCCAATCAAATTAATTAAATTAATAAAAATATTTAAGTTTTATAAGAAAGAGATATTTAGATGGGCTTGAAGTTAAAAAGTATTGCAGTTTGAGTTGATTTGTATTGGGCCATACTGATTATACTCAACAAATCTATGTGGGCCTGCTCTATTAGAGAGAGAGAGAGAGAGAGAGAGAGAGAGAGAGATCATATATAATATATTCTCATTTAATTAAGGTAATTAGTTTTTAATGACTGGAACGATAGTTTATGCGGTGGAAATAATAAAGTGAAATGATATCCATAAATAACCTCTGGCAGGGAGGGGTTGACTCTAACCTAGGATATCAAAATTTATTATTACACGTGGTATATATATATATATATATATATATATATATATATATATATATATATATATATATATATATATATATATATATATATATATATATATATATATATATATATATATATAGCATCTACATGCTTTAACTCAATTGTCATTTGTCATGCTCCCATAGCATTTACCAGCACTAGGAAATAGTATGCTACACTGAAATTGAATGACCAATTTATACATTATTTCACGAAAATTACATTATTATTTGTTTATATTTTTTAAGTCAAATAAAATAAAATAAAATAAATTAATTGGAAATGTTAGGAACTTGTAACACACTTATTTGCTGTGAATATTTCCCGCTCTATATTCATGCGGTGCACTGTGCACATGTATTTTTGTCTCATGATCGCTAATTTGCTGATACATTTCTGGAAAATAAACCTCTTAAAAAAAACGAATATAAAGAGAGAGAGAAAAGAATAGGATACAGCGGCGGCACATGTCATAAAGGTGGAGACGCAGACGCGCCACTTCTCAAATGAATGAGCTGGACTGAATAAAGCGACGGTGGTCCAAATCCATTTGTCAAAAGATATATTGTACTTTTAAACTTTTACCCTGTCACCCACTTGCCGATACTTCATTTTCCCGAGGGCTGTTCCGTCATTTCACAGTCAACTCACAAGCACCACAATTCCAGTTTTTTTAATTCTTTAATTTTCATATTAATTATTTTATTCCGATTGCATAAAATATATTAATCGACACTAGCACTCACGTACCTACCACAATATTTTTCTGTAAAAATAAATTATTGATTATACTAGTTTCAATTATTTCATTCCACTTTCTTGTTGTGTACTATTTAATTTGGGAGTATTGGATATTTAAATCATGTAAACCAAAATATATAATATATAAATGGAATAATAGAGAAGGTGAAATATGAGAACATAAATTTTGTTCTCTTATGCATATTATTCCTTGCTTCAATTAGGAAAAATACACAACCAACTTTTAATTATTTTATTTTTATTAAAACAAATATATTCTCCCGAATTTCAAAGGCTGATGTTTTTTTTGGAGCTTTCCAACGTCCTCCTTGCCTTTTTTAAGTGACACCTAACGCAGGATTATTTATTTATTTATTTATATTCTCAAAAATTAAAAATAATAATAAATAAATAAAAAATAACCCCCCAAACACTTCCTTCCCACGCCCCTCCACCACCAGAATCGTGTCCTCTTCTCCACCAAAACACGCACAAACACACACTAAAAAGTCTGGAACCAACTGCATTCGCAAAATCCCCAATATTACTGATTTCCACTATCTGAATTACAAATTCACTGCATTTCCTTCTGGTAAGTGTGCGAACTTCAGCGAGTGACACGTGTGTGTGTATGGGAGCAGAGTTTGATTCATCTTCATCTTCCACTACATTCCAATTTATTTTAATTTTAATTTTTTTAATTTGATGAAGTGGATTGCGTCATCGAAGACATGTGTTTGCTTTGTTTTCTGCGTTTCCGTGAAGCAATTACTTTTAATTTGTTGTTATGTGAAATCTCTCTCTCTCTCTCTCTCTCTCTCTCTCTCTCTTCCTTCACAAAAATTGGCAGCATTTCTCTATCTCTCTCTCTCTCTCTCTCTCTCTCTCTCTCTCTCTCTTTCATGGCTACTTTGCTTCTCGGCTTTGTGTTTTGAAGGTTCTTTTATTTATTTAATTTTATTTTTCTCTTAATTTTCAGCAACGATTCTTAGAGCTGTGGCTCTGTTTTGGAGGTGCTGTTACTCACTTTTGGTTATTTCGTAAATGTTATTGCCATGTTAAATTTCAATTGTATTCGCAATTAGTAAGAAAATTCATGTTCCAATCTTCACTGTATTTTTTTCTGAAGCTCGAATTGAAAAATAATAAAATAAAATAAAAATCTAAACGTTTAGTGAGTTTACAATCCAAAGTCTATTTATGAAACCGTGTTTGTGGATTTGATCGGTTCGCAATTCACTTCATTAAAATAATATCAGCTTACTCCAAATTTTGGCAAAGAATAAAGGGTATTCTGGGTAGATATTTAGTTTTTTGTTTTTTTTTTGTTTTATAATAATTTTTAGATTTATGGAATATCATATTGGTTGAGAATTTTAATTGTTTTGGTGTACTATCCTTTTCTTCATCCTCACTGGCATATGTTTAGATTATTAAGGCCAGTTGCATTGCATGCCTTAAAGTTTTGATCATTAATTTTGTTTTTTTAATACTGAATCTGCATTGAAGATTTTGACTTGAAATATCTTCTTTTGTTTTTGTTTCCAATTATCCCCTTGAAATCTCGTATGTTATGTTCTCGGGTTTCGACTTCTTTTTTTCGTTGTTGTCAATAATTCGACTTTTTGTTGTGGGGCTTTTAGCTTCAATTTAATGATATTGTTTGCATAAACAGAAATCTGCAATGGATAAAAGGAGTTGGCCATGGAAGAAAAAATCATCAAACTCTTCTGCTTTAGACAAGGTTCGCCCATATTTTTTCGATTCTTGTTTGTATAACTGTATTCATGTCATAATTTTAATAAAGTTTGAGTTCATATGTATATATATATATATATATATATATATATATATATATATATATATATATATATATATATATATATATATTTATGCTTGATTGTTAACAGGTCAAACACGACAGTGAAAATGAAAAACCGAAGTTTATTCAAATTCCAACGGAATCATATGCAAATCTAACTGGATTGGTGGATCAAGTTAAGTCCTATGAAGAACAAGTGCGGAACTTAGAGGAAGAAGTGAAGGAACTGAATGGAAAATTATCCGAAGCCCATTCAGAAATGACCGATAAAGAAAACGTAGTGAAACAACACGCCAAAGTTGCTGAAGAAGCCATCTCAGGTTTTCATCTTTTTATGATTACACAATATCTTTTGTTGTTTGAAGATAAAATTCGGAACTTAGATCTCGAAAACCTTTTTTTTTTGTACAGGTTGGGAAAAAGCCGAAGCAGAAGCTGCAACGCTGAAAACCCAAGTGGAATCTGTCACGCTTCTAAAGCTCACAGCCGAAGATCGAGGAACGCATTTAGATGGTGCTCTCAAAGAATGCATGAGGCAGATACGGGACTTGAAAGAAGAACACAGCAAAAAATTGCAAGAAGTCATTCATAACAAAACGAAGCTCTTCGATAAAATGAAGCTCGATCTCGAGTCGAAAATATCCGATTTGGAGCAAGAACTTTGCAATTCGGCTGATGAAAATGCTGCACTATCAACATCTCTGCGGGACTGTTCCAATATGCTGACTCAACTCGGTGAAGAAAAATCAGAAGCTGAATCTGAGATACGACTTTTAAATAGCAATATCGAGTCCTACGAAAAAGAAGTAAGTTCGCTGAAATACGAAGTCCATATAGCTAGGAAAGAGGTGGAAATACGCAACGAGGAAAAAAACATGAGTGTGAGGTCAGCAGAATTGGCGAATAAGCAGCATATTGAAGGGGCGAAGAAAATAGCTAAGCTTGAAGCAGAGTGTCAAAGATTGCGTGGACTTGTAAGGAAGAAATTGCCCGGTCCAGCTGCACTTGCACAGATGAAGCTTGAAGTTGAACACATGGGCAGAGATTATGCAGAATCCCGTTTAAGGAAGTCCCATTTGCCTGAATTCTCGTTCGAAAATTCACTGAAGATCCATAAAGAGCACGAGCAGCTTACAGAGCGTATGCTATCTATGGACGAAGAAACGAGGATGTTGAAGGAAGCGCTGGCAAAGCGTAACGGGGAGTTGGAAGCTTCTAGAAGCTTGTACGAGGAGACAGCTGTCAAGCTTCGAAGTTTAGAAGCAGAATTACGAGGTAACGGTGAAAGATTATCTAGTAGAAAAGGTATCGAAGATGGAAACGATGATAATGTGAGTTGTGCTGATTCTTGGGCTACAATGTCAATTTCTGCTGAGCACTCTTATGTTTGTAAGGAGAAGAATTTAGACAGTCCACATATATCTGAAAAGTCTAGTCGCTTGTGCCTTATGGATGACTTTTTGGAGATGGAGAAATTTGCAAACGAAACAGATCCCAAAACTGTTGAATCTTTGTCTGAAGATGTTAAGTCGTGTATGGACAGTGTGCAAACCATCAATCAAGAATTGGAAATCGCCATCTCTTACATTTGTGATATTGTGAAGATGCTTGGTAAAGAGGCAGAAACATCTGCAGATAGAGATGAACTAAATGAAGAGATCGACACTTTCTCTGCCAAATACAACGAAGCTATTAACAGCAAAATGGTTAATCTAGTTGAGTTTGTCCTCGACATTTCTCGTGTCTTGAGCAAAGCAAATGAACTGCACTTGAATGTAACGGGGTTCAAAAGTTGTGAAGTGGAGAATAGTAGTTCTGATTGTATAGACAAGATTGTGCTACCAGAGAATAAGGCTCTATTGGAGGATTCTTCAGGTGAAAGGTATCCAAATAGTTGCTCCCAATTTTCCGATTCTGCATCTGATCCGGATATACCAAGTGATGCGAAACTTGTTCCGACATCTGAATCGCCATGGAAATGTTCTTTTGAGGAGTTTGAACAATTGAAAGCCGATCTTGCTATAAGCACAGCAAATTTGGAAAGCACCAAGTCTCAGTTGCTTGAAACGGAGCAGCTTCTTGCTGATGTCAAGTTACAGTTGACATCGGCTCAAAAGTCAAACACCTTGGCAGAGACACAGGTCAAATGCATGGCGGAATCGTATAGATCATTAGAAACACGAGCAGAGGAATTACAAACCGAAATCAATTCTCTGCAAACGAAAATAGAGAACATGGACAACGAGCTGCAGAAGGAGAAAGCTAGTCATCAAGATGCACTTACCAGATGCAACGATCTTTTAGAGCAGCTTCAAAGGTAGTAAAAAAATTCTCTCTTGCATTTTATTTTTTGTTTTTTCATTTCTAACACGTGGGCTTTCTCGATTTTTCCATGACAGAGTTGATAATTCTTCAGCAACAGTCGATAATATCGACAAGGCTAGCCAGGTGAGACCCGTAAAAGTATAATTAGTATATACGACAAGATCCCTTGTAAATTGTTTGTCATATGTTTAAGATAAACACATAAATGATATATGTTCTTGTGTAAAACCAGGAGGCAGAATTAGCTGCTGCATCTGAAAAGTTGGCAGAGTGTCAAGAAACAATATTTCTTCTCGGCAAGCAGTTGAAATCGTTGCGCCCTCAAACGGATATACAAAACTCAACAACAAATAGCGGCGAACAACCAACAATAAGTGGGATGAATTTTCAACCTACTATTGATTTTGGCGCCACTTCTTTCAGTTTGCACAGAGCAGGCTCGGAATCATTCCTTGATCCATTCAATTCCCAGTTTGGTACATCTGATTCTGAAGCAAATAAACCACCGCTTCGATCAAAGCACCGCCCCACAAAATCGGGATCGTGTTCAGCTTCTCCAACTCCTTCGGAGAAACAAAGCCGTGGATTTAGCAGATTCTTTTCCTCTAAAGGAAAGAATTCCTACTAGTGATCCATATTGAACTATAGCTCAACCAAATTTATGCTTCTTGTAATTAAACATCATCACCTTATTTATTATATATGCTTAATAATCTTGTTTTTTTGATATTGTTTCTTCATTATCTGATTTATTTATTTCTTTTTTAATATTTTAATTGAATTTGAACATTTGCCAATCTGGAAAATGTGCTCTCTCTCTCTCAACAACTCTTGGCCACATGCCCTAAGCACCAAAGGCCAAAAAAAAAAAAAAAAAAAAATATTAAAAATTAAAAAATTAAAAAATTAAAAAAGAAAAATAGTAGCACCAGATTAGGCAGGAGAGGATCACAATTCAAACAAATCCCCAATCCACCACCAACAATGGCAGCCACCTTATCCCTCCTCTCCCCCGCCTCCACCGCCTCCCTCCGCCGCCAAATTCCGACGTCCAGTCGCATCCACCTCCGCACCGCCCCATCCAAGTTCTCTATCAAGGCCTTCTCCGCCCCAGTCCTCACACAGGACGACCTAAAAAAACTCGCCGCCGACAAGGCCGTCGAGTATGTCAAAAGCGGCATGGTCCTCGGACTCGGAACCGGATCCACCGCCGCCTTCGTCGTCGATAAGATCGGCGCACTCCTCAAATCCGGCGAACTCACTGATATCGTCGGAGTGCCCACATCCAAGCGCACCCAGGAGCAGGCCTTCGCACTAGGTATCCCGCTATCCACCCTCGACGCACACCCTCACCTCGACCTCGCAATCGACGGCGCCGATGAGGTGGACCCCAATCTCGACCTGGTGAAGGGCCGCGGCGGAGCCCTATTGCGCGAGAAAATGGTCGAGGCGGCGTCGGATAAATTCGTGGTGGTGGTTGACGATTCGAAATTGGTGGCCGGGTTAGGCGGGTCGGGTCTGGCGATGCCCGTAGAAGTAGTCCAGTTCTGCTGGAATTATAATCTGGTGCGGCTGCAGGAATTGTTCAAGGAGGAAGGGTGCGAGGCGAAGCTGAGATTGGATGGGAATGGGAAACCCTATGTCACTGATAATTCTAATTACATTGTGGATTTGTATTTCAAAACCCCGATTAGGGATTCGGGTGCTGCCGGAAAGGAGATTAACGCGTTCGAAGGGGTGGTGGAGCATGGTTTGTTCTTGGATATGGCGACTGCTGTGATCATTGCTGGTGGCACCGGAGTTAGTATCAAGACGAAGTGAAGAGCAACCAACCGGTGATTAAATTTGTTGTTAATTTGGAAATTGCATTTGCTACATTGTTCTTCATTTGTTTTTTTGTTGTAACATGAGAGCTGCATTCTGTAGTTGAGAATAATATTCAAAATAAAGATGTACACTAATCAATTTAAAAAAAAAAAAACAAAAAACAATTGCTTTGCCATTTTGATCGAGAGTTGATAAAGTTGCGATTTTTGTGGAATTAGTTGTTTCGTTTTATCGGTTATTGTTATGTAGTGTTTAGTCGATTTATTTGAATGAGTTTCTTGATTGAGGATAATCTGGAAAGCTTGCTTAGCTTTGGCAATGGTGATAGTTTGTGATATAAGCATTGTGTTTTAGAGCTAATTAATTATCCTCTAGTGAAGCTCAAGTCTTGAGTCATGTCAAAATCGATAAACTTTGTAGTTTTGAACCTCGATTTCTCACTCGTATATGAGAAATTAGTTGCAGGTTGAGTTGGATATATGAAGCTAAACCTTTGGCCAGAATTCCTGCTAGTTGAAAAGATTTATCTAAATTCAATGCCTGGTTTGTTATGACTTATGTCCTGTAGAGTTTATACTATGCTACACAATGTGAAATAGGGTAATAGGGTAACAAGGTTTTCATTTCACCGAGTAGGAAGGGTAAAGGGCATTTGTGGTATTTTTCATTCTGTCCCAAATAAATCATTTATTAAAAACCAAGTATTATCCACTAATCATTCATTGAATTTGGACTTGGGTGGTCTTATGTTAATTTAATAGTCCCATTGCAAGATTAAAGAATTAGCTGTTACCATTGAGGGAAAAAGCATGCCAAATTCAAGCCCAAATTCGTCCCAATTAAAGGCCCAATTGAGTCCAATTTCAACACTATTTTAACCCAATACTAGGCCCATTCAAGCAAATTACCGGGCTCATGAAAGCCCAAATTAATACAAAATTCAAACCCAAATTCCTCCCAATTAAAGGCCCAATTTCCTTAAATTTAAGCCCAAATTCGTGTCCTTTTTAAGGCCCAATTCGTCCCAATTACAGGGCCCAATTGTGTCCAATTTAAACACTGTTTCAGCCCAATCAAGCCAATTTCCGGGCTCATTTAAGCCCACAGCCCTATTCCACGAAACCCTAAAACCCAACTTCATAAACACACACACACACACACACACAAGGGACGAGCGGTGACTTTTATCGAAATAAAAAATAAGTGCGTTTTTATGTTAATAAAAGTATATTTCAGAGACTTGCTCGGTGCAAATTCGGAAGTAAATATTGTTGAATTCATTTCCATAATTTAATATTTATAATGTTAAATCCACATGGCATTATGTCAGTGGCATCCGTTTACATTAGCAAGACGGTACATTCGTTTTAGAATTAATTCCATATAATAATAACAATACCCGAAACCAAATCAAAGACGAATATTATTATACAATTAATTGTCTATAATCATAAAACATTTTTTTATTTATTATTTAACGAATTTTATTAACTTTAAAACCAAAAGAGGCCCAAGAGTGTGTACATTTTAGCCCAATTTCCGATATGTTATACGTTGTTGGCCCAAAAGTTCATTCATAATTATTTACTTTTTGTGATAATTTGAACAAGTAATAATAATACCTTTGTTTAATTTACTTTTTGTGATAATTTGAGCAAGTAATAATAATACACTAAAAGTAAGGCTAGTTTAATTTATAAATTGTATAATTATTGCCACGTCAATATATCTCACGTGTCTTGGTCTTTCCTCGAATGAATAAATTTAATCTTTTTTCCTTTTTAAAGATTCAACCACTCAAACCACGGGAGGTGAAAACAAGGAAGAAAAAGCCGACAAACTTTCCCGATTAGGTTCATTTAATGAAGCCTGTATTTGATAAATAAATCCCATCAATATATTTATTAAAATAATAATAAAATAATAGTGATATATACATAAAGCATGGAGGAGCCTATAACATATCCTGTCATACATGATACAACCGTACGTGTGCATTGCTTTGACAACTTATGTTGGTTGAATGGTGTGATATTTAGCTCTAGGGGTCCTCTAATTTCATGACTTTTTAGGTATTATTTTGATGTGAAATTAACTTGTCACATCCCCACCATTTTTCTTTATTATCATTCCAATTTCACTATCTCATCAAATCTCAACATTTTCTTGTAACAAATTATATATATATATATATACACACGTCTGGCCTTAACGGAACGTTGAGTTACCATAATTTATATTCCTCTACCAATCATTGTCGGGTCAAGGGATGGAGGCTCAGGGGCGAGGGATTTCGCCTTTTAGTGCTAGAATATATAAATAAATAGGATTAAATAAAGTAACACGAGTGGCTAATATATAGGGTAGGTAGTCCCACACAGTTGGGAAGGACTTCGCTGTGATTGGATTACCAGCTTTGCCATTATATTATTTATTATTTCGCATTTCAAACAATTTATATTGTCAACATATTTATGTGCGGCAACTAGTAGGTATTTGCTAATCGCGCCAACTATTCTTATAATTATTTGTATTTAACTATAAATAAATTAATAAATACTTGAAAAAAACATATATAATTGAATTACTTCTTTGAATATTAACATAAGATCATAAAAAAATTGATAGACAATATATTTAGTTAACATATTATAATTATTTAAATATGTTTCTAAATTCAAGTCATATATCCACAAAATAAATGATTCGTTTTGTATTAATATAAATTAATATTTCATAAAAGTAGCAGTTTTTTAAGTTATATTTTTGTTGGTTGCAAATATTATTTTTAAATTATAGACTTTATTATATATATATAGAAAAAAGTCATAATTTATCAAAAATAATTCTAACAATGGAATGTTGCATTTGTTTTTAAAATAAATTTGTTAAAGTTAACATGTTTATACATCAATGGATGATAATGAGATGAATTATAGAGACGAAGGATGAAAATGAAACAATTAAGAAATGAAGGACTAAAATTAAACTAAATGTGAAAATAAATATTTAGCCTTATTTTTATTCGGCCAAAATAAAACTATACATGAAAAATAGTTTCTCAAAAGGGGGGTGGGGTCACTTGAACGCTCCAAAATGTCATACAAATTCCAAAATTTATTTTGTCGCTTTTCAATCTCCACTACTCTTTCATACATATATAATATATCCATGAATTTCAATTTTTATATCTATATTGTTTAGGGGTGTTAGGTTTAAAGATCACCACCAGTTGTTTTTCACATAACATAATCACTATTATATTAATTATTACATTTATCAAAAACTAAATATATGGTATTAGTCAACACTCGAATGCACTTTAATTTTATATATTGAAAGATACTACAAATATCATTCAACCGACATAAATAAAACTATCATATATATATATATATATATATATATATATATATATATATATATATATATATATATATATATATATATATATATATATCAGAGTCAAATAAGAAACATAACATTATATTAGGGGTCACATAAAGAAAATCAACTTGCAAGTAAAAAAAAAAAAAGCAGGGCATTATGAAAAGATAGAAAAAAAAAATAAAGAAAAAAAAAATTAATACCGACGTATTAATTTAATCTCATTTTGTTTAAGCAAAGTAGCATACTAATTAAATGGACAAGAATGACAATCTTAACAATACATAAAATACACGAAAGTGTAATAATATATAATGGTAAAATTATAGTTTCATTTCTCAAGTTTGTATTAATTTCACATTTGGTCCCTCGTATTCTCCAAAAACACACATTTGGTCCCTCGTATTCTTCAAAAAACACATTTGGTCCCTCATCTTTCAATAATTTAACACTTTTGGTCATTTTCGTCATTTTACCGTTAGTTCGTCATTTAAAGTAGTGACGGGCACACACTTGATTCCATTATTACTAACTGAAGTTGACTAAAAGTGGAAACATGAGGGACCAATTGTGTTTTTTGTAAACATAGGGGACCAAATGTGTAATTGGTGCAAATTTGAGGGGCAAAGACAGTAATTTTCCCAATCCGTAATACATGCCTTAATCACAATCACGATTATTTAATTAATATACTTCTACTTTATTTTCTTCTTTTGTATATGGCTGGATCATTTTTTGGCAAATTGGAATATTAAATATATTATTGAACAAGATGACCCGCAATGAAACACGGGGAAACGAGCACCACGCACGTTAGATGATATTTTGGAGGGTAAATTAATTAAAGGTTGTTTGGATGACTGGATAAGAAGCATTGAATTGAATTATTCAAAGACAAGATTCAAAATTGAGGAGATTAAATTAGAAAAAGGAAAATCGGGATATAACTAAATTAAAAACAGGGATGCGGCTGGATTAAAGGAGGCACGACTTGGTAGAGACAGAGATACATCCACGTGCACACTCTTATCCTAAATACCCCACCAACTTTAATTATTTCATATGTCAAAAAATTAAATAAATAATAAATTCATATATACTTTGTGGGAACATGAATTAAAGTAACAAGTGAATTAAAAAAAAGAAAAGAATTAATAATAAGTGTTACGTTATTCTTCACGAAGAAAAAGAAAATTGGGGTAATGTTAGTTGAATTCAGTGTCCAATTAAATTCTTCACTTTTCTTGATATCTCCTTTTCCATAACTTTTCTTCTTTTCAAACACCAATTTTATGTACATCAATAATTCAATGCATTTTTAATTTACTAGTAGTTATTATTTTTCTTTAATTGTGTACTACTTGTTAATTACCCTAAAATAAAAATATTTTTTTAATATTTGAAAGTGATCAATTTTTGTTTACAGTTTTTGAATGAAGAAATTCATTCATGAATAAGAAGTGTAGGTTAATTGATCATAAAACTTAGGGTAAATTACAATCACCTCCCTAAGGTAAAGTGTAATTACAAAAAGACCCATATTGTTTAGAAATTACATCGAACCCCCTGTAGTTTGGAATTTCTTACATCATCCCGTACAAAAATGGTGTTAGTTTAAGAAATATTAAAATTACAAGGAGTGGATGTAATTATAGAAAAGTAAGGAGTTTTTCCATTAATAGACTTTACCTCAGGATATGATTGTAATTTACCCTAAAATTGATTCAATTTCCGGGACCAAAGCTTCATTTAAATACAAGATAATTGACTTTTAAATAGTTTATTAAGGTGGCATAGGAATATTCCTTAAAAAATCTGAATGTTTAGGAATTGGCGGCAAGAAGACATGTTCCATTTTACACGCTACCATATTAGTTGGGACTTTACAAGAAAAAAGCAAACTAAAAAAACAATTAAAAAAGAAAAGAAAATGCGAATCCATATTTGGTTATATATTGACTAGTGCTACATTTTGTCTATTTATTTATTCTTAAATTATTTTATTGGAAAAAGATTGAAAAAAGTGAGTTATAAATATGTTTATGTCTTTGTAATATATTCGTGATCAATGTTTCACACGACTTTTGCTTCTTAATTAATGAAACATGACCCAGTAAATAATTTACGCCGAATATTAATTAATTGAGAATAATTCAATTATACGGCTATTACGACTATTTGAAAATTGACCTTGTCAATCGTCATCCCTCCTAAGAAAAAAGAATTAAAAAATAATATGAGAATTATAGGTATACGTTTGTGTCAAAAAAAGTAGTACCCCTAGCAAAAAGTGTTGTACCATTTTGTCATCACCTACGATGAGCTTACCTCATTGGGAAAGATGGAGAAGAAGCAAATTGCAACTCGAACACTCTTTGTACTCGCCTTTTACAAACCATGGTTTAATTATTGGATTATTTAACAATTATGGAATATTTTTTATATTCCGAAAATAATTTAAAGTCTCAATTTTGTTGGAGAGAATCTTCGTGGAAATTGGCAATTAACTTTTAGGTCCAACTAATTGCATAAAAAGAATTATGTTTCGGTTGGTTCAGATATATGACACGTCGATTTATTTTTCCTCATAATGCGTATTAATATTGTTAGTGGTGTATTAATTAATTAATTAATTAGTTAAGTTTAAGTGCAATTGTATTGAGTAGTACACGTAGTTATTTCATTATTAAGATTTAAGGGTAACGGGAATGATTAGTCGTGACTCGTCAGTCTAAATTGTGTGTCTTTAGCCAAGCCACGTGGAAATTTATGCTGAAACTTTAATTTTGTGGAATCTAATTTCGAAAAATAAATAAATTTGTGGAATCTCCTTTTTGACATGGCCTAATCAACTTCTGGACTAGACTAATAGGGTGGCGCAGATGTAATTTGTCGGTTTTGTAGATGTTACATTCGGTGATCTTGAATCATTAATCTACACTTAATAATACATATCATGTATATGTGCATTTAATCAATAATTATTTATATAAATTTACGATTCAAAACCACTCAACTTACTATACCATGTGTAATGAATATGGACCATTTATTATAGACATGAGAATGTATCCATCTTACATAAATTGCAGAATAATAATTAGTTAATTACCTTGGTTAATAGAGAAATATATAGCAGGGGTATTTTGGTCCGAATAAGTATGTGGATGGAGTGTATCTAGTCTCAACCCATCAACCAGTCAACCGCACGTGCACCTCAATACGGCACCGCTCGGCAGCATTGATCCCACTACCACGTTACTCAGCCGGGCCCACCATCACTCAGCCCAGGCCCATTACATTATTATGTATTTTCATCACAATAATTCACATCTCTCTCTCTCTCTCTCTCTCTCTCTCTCATTTGAATTAATTAACCAAGCCTTTTAAATTGATTATGTCAATACTATTTATTATGCTATAACAAATTGAGGATTATAGGTAATAAAACAGAACAAAGTATATTCATTGCTTAATCACGTGATCCGAACTATTTAAAATAGTAACCACTAATTAATAGTTCAATTTGGTGATTGAAAAAAAACATATGATGGGGTCACAAAGAAAACATAAATTCTGCATATTAATATTCCTCCTATGAACAAAGAAAACCCCATTAAACAGAAATATGACGCACCCCCCCACTTTCATACCTCCCTTTTCTTCTCTCTAGACTTTATATTGAAAATGACACCAATTTGCCATTTTTTAAATTAATAAAAAAAAATTAATCCAATTTTCTTTTTAAAAAAAGACAGCAAGTGCCAAGTGTACAGGTAGGATTGAAGTTGGACGACCATTTGGATATAAAAGGGGACCAATTACTTAAACCCATGTACTTCTTCATTCCTTTCTACACATTTTCTTACTTCTTTCCAATTCCCATTCTATCAATCTTTTCACACACACACACACACACAAAAAAAGAAAAAGAAAATTGTAATGGAAAATAGGGTCCAAAAGCAGACAGAAGCATCAAGATTCAAGAGGATTTGTGTTTTCTGTGGCAGCAGCCCAGGCAAGAATCCAAGTTATCAATTAGCTGCCGTACAACTCGGAGCACAACTGGTAATTTAATCACTCATTTTTTATTTTTATTTTTATTTTTTCACTTGCATGAATAAATTTTTTTTTTTTTTTTTATACAGATTGAATTTTTATTTTAATCAGCAAAGTTATGTACTAGTAATTAACTGGCTTGATCATGGAGGTTAATTACTGTATGGATCAGCAAGATTAACGTGAAATATTATATTATTTAATTTACTAATTACAAGAGATGGTGTTTAATGTTTATTAATTAAAAAATGGTGGTTGCGTGTTAGTGCAAGAAATGTACATAAATAATAATGATAAAAAGTATTATTGGTAAATAAATATTGTAGGTTGAAAGGAACATAGACTTGGTATACGGTGGTGGAAGCATCGGCTTGATGGGACTTGTCTCTCAAGCTGTGTATAACGGTGGCCGCCACGTGTTAGGGTAATTTTTTTTTCTAATTAATATCTTAATTTTCATTATAAATAAATAAACAAAATTGATCTTTCTTTGTGCAGTGTGATTCCCACAACTTTAATGCCTAGAGAGGTAAATTAATTTACTTTCATATTTACAAATTAAAAGTCTAGTGGTGTACAAAATGGGCCGCCCGGCCCATAGTCTCAGCCCGCCCGGCCCATGGAATTATATAGCTGGGCTGGGCGGGCTTGGGCTGAAATTTGTTCATCACTAATTAAAACAAACAAAGACACTAATGAATAAATAAATAAATAAGCATTTAATTAATTTAATATTAAATGGTGATTGCAGATAACAGGGGAGCCTGTGGGAGAAGTGAGAGCAGTTTCTGGAATGCATCAAAGGAAGGCTGAGATGAATAGGCAAGCTGATGCTTTTATTGCCTTGCCTGGTAATTAATTATCTTTATTATTACTAATTAATTAACTAATTATACTATAATTCATACTTGTGTATTATCAACAATCAAGAATTGTACGGTCACTACTCCTAAAATACTAGGTTAATTAATTAATTAATTAGTGGTTAATATTAATTTAATTTTTCAGGGGGGTATGGTACATTGGAGGAGTTGTTGGAGGTCATCACTTGGGCTCAACTTGGAATCCATCACAAACCGGTATATTACTAAAAAAAAATTGAAATTAATATTTTATACAAATATTTTTTAATTATGATTATTTTTTTTAATTATTTAAACCATGATTAACAGGTGGGTTTACTGAATGTGGATGGTTACTACAACTCACTACTGAGTTTTATAGACAAGGCTGTAGATGAAGGTTTCATTACACCGTCTGCCCGTCACATTATTTTATCTGCCCCAACTGCCCATGAACTTATGTCCAAGCTTGAGGTATTTTTATTATTCATCATCACTCATATATACAATGTGTATATATACATTCATCACTAGATATTTATTATATTTATTACAAGCAGGATTATATCCCGGAACACAATGAAGTAACATCAAAGCTAAGCTGGGAGATGGAGCAGCAACTTGGTTTTACCACGATATCCGACATTGCTCGTTGACCAGGAATATTCCCTTCATCGAAATCTCGAAGTATTTAGGCAAAACAAATTAAGTACATACAGGATTTTTATTTTTCAAACAATACTAAAGGTCTAGAGATCGATATAGTTCTGCATTCGATCCCATTAATTCATTTTCAATTTTTAGTTACTCGATCTATTATTCGTGTCTAGATAATGTTTGTTTGCTTCATCCTTTTTTTTAGTGCTAGCTAACATCGATCCAATTTAATTTTGTTAGACAAGCCTTTTGTACCTTAGCTTTCTTTTTTTCTTTTTCTATGTAAATTTGAAATTTATATATGATTTTCGTAATATTGTATTTTAAGAATTCTAACTTATAATAGAACGGACACGGAAACAATAATACGGGGAAATGGGAAACAGCATGTCCCAAATATGGGATACGGAGTTTGAGAGAAATGTATAAATATTAAAAGTAAAGGGGTATATTTATAAATATGCTATATAAATATATACATAAGTTTTTTTAGTATATTAATTATTTTTACATATTTTAATACAAACATATTTAAAATAAATTTTATTATCAACTATCAATTTATCATTAGACTATGTAAATAATTAAGGAAGCAACATAAATATTTGAAAATTTGCAATTCAAATATGTTTCTAGCTTTTTAGAAATTACAGAATGGCCCATAAGGTGTCCGGAAGGAGTCCTCGAGTGTCGGATATGAAACGTGTCCGAAACACAAAAACATTAAGAAGTTGAAGTTTACGTGTTACATAACACCCCACTCGAACATAAATCATTTGGCATTCAACATGTTTATGAAACACATAACAATCATTATGCACAATAACTACTACAAAATTTTACACTCATTCAAACCAAAATACACACACTAAACATGTGTATTCTTAACCAATAACATTTCCTTACAAGAAAGATTGAACCACGGACGAAGTGGTCACTAAACCGGACAAAAGCCCAACGATAACAGCACTATTATACGTACTCGGTTCAGTTTGCATGGAATTATTTCTCGAGTCAACAAACGACTCATTGAGAAATGGCCCACCAACAAGTGCTCCAATTGCAACATTAGGGTTTGGTTCTTTCGAATCGAGCCACTTGAAACCCTCTTTACAATCTGACTTATCATCAGCTGGAATCGAAGCTCCTCTGTGATGAACGTACTGCGGGTACTTATCTCCATACCCCACTAAATAACTCATCTTCATCGGATTATCGCCTAACACGTAGTCCGCCTGTAATAAATAAATAACGCTAAATAAGTTAATATAAGTAACAGTCCAAATTAATATATTCAATACAAAGCAGAAAACGAACCTGTGAAATTGCAAACTTGCGGAGATCCGAGGGTCGAAAATTATTCCCGTTGCAGGATATTCTTGCTGTACGAGATGAAAGCATGTAATCACTGTAAATCACTGCTAAAAAAGCCGATGCTACTGGATGTTGCAAAGCGTTCCATTGGCTTATCCATACTAAACCATCTGCGCACATATGTAAGTCGAAAATCGTTGATTAAAAAAACTGAAAAATCGATCAAAAAAATTTAAAGAAAAAAAAAATACTTTTAGTTCTGCTGGAAGTTGCAGTTGGCGATTTCGGTAAAAGACCACACATTACAGCCTCTGCTGTTTCCCTATACTTCTGAAGTACATTCGAATTCGATACGTCTTTTGCTCCAAAGAAGCTAGCCCTCGATAGCAGAACCTGTCATATATATATACAAGTTATTACCAATATATATGTATATATGTATGAGTTACGAATCGACGTATGTATATATATATACCTGTGTTCCAGCGAGTTTATTATCCCAGCTAAACCAAGTAGGACTACCCCAATTACCGAAGTCGTCACCGCTTTTTCCGGTGACATAATCAAAATACGATTTTTCACCCGTTGCATGGTAGAGCCAACTAGCAGCCCACAGAAGCTCATCACCATAGCCAGTCGAATTATAGTAAGTTGCAACTTCGGGAATAGAGACACTATAAGACCCTCTATATTTATCGGCAAACGTAAACAACTGTTTCGCATGCTTCAAAAGCGAGCCCGAATAAGCAGAATCGGTTGTCCTAAAAACAAGAGAAGCCGATGCTAGAGCAGCTGCTGTCTCAGCAGCCACCTCAGTCCCGGGAGAAGATGTATTCACCTGCGTCAGAGGCCTCTCCTCTGTGATAGCTTCGGGCCTTACCCAACAACTATGGTCTGCTTCAGGACTACCCACCTGTCAAATAAAATGTTCGAATTTTTAGTAGGAAAAAAAAAGGGTGAAAAATGAAAATAAGCGGTAAATTAATTGACCTGAATGTATAGGACATTATCGGTGGGGTGAGCGTTGATGAGGTAATCGGTGATCCATTTGAGGGAATCTTGAACGGGGGTTAATTGATCAACGGCTTTCATTTGATCACCGTATTCGAGTATGGACCACGAAAGCAATGTGGCTGTGAAAGCCATCGGGAATCCGAATTTCACGTGGTCTCCCGCATCATACATTCCTTTGGAGAGGTCTAGGTTTTCTTGATTTCCGTCTTTTAAAGCGGAATCTCCTCTCCAGGAGATCTGATTATTCACTAGCTTCCCAGCTTCAACATTTAATTAAGAATCCCCAAAATATCAGAAAATCGAGTAAAAGATCAACTCCTATTCACAATTCATGCATCATCTTTTTCTTCGGCAAATTAAATTCAATTTAGTCTATGCTAACATTAAATACTAATGGGAAGCAAAATCGAGCATTTCATCGAACACATTAAATACAGATCTAATAAGACGAATTTAAAAGGAAAAGGGGAAATGTAGATTACATTTTTGGATGTCGAGAAACTGGGAGGCAATCTTGAGAGCATCGGCGTATTTCTTAGTAATGGCGCCGGGTGGGCCCGGAATAGGGGCGGCGCCGGAATCGGATTTATGAAACTTCTGCCGCAGAGTAAAGAAAAGCGCGAATGCAACCGCCGCCAAAACTATGAACGCTAGAAACCAACCGCACCATCCTCTTGACTTGTTCTTCTCTCCCATTCTTCTCAACTATTTAAATTAAATTTAAAAAAAAAAAACAAGCAAAGAAGAGAAGCTGCAAGAGTTGACTTTTGAGTGTGTGTTTTTCTACTGGCTGGATCCGAGCATGCAAAGAAAACGGATTTGATCTGAGACCAAGGTCTTGAATTTTTTGAGAGAAAAAAAATGATTTTTTTTGGGGGATTTAGTTCAAATGTGGGTTGTTTAATGGAGTTCAGATTGCGTTGAAAACAACGGGATTTAGATACAGTAAATAAAACAGAGCACCGACAGTTGTTAACAATGGAATCCTTCTTCTTCCTTCTTCGTCACGTGTTTGGTGTGAAATGACCAAAATGCCCATGTTAGCTGGGATGCTTATTTCTGTTAGGTAGTTTAGGTACCCAATTGGCAGCATTTACTAGCAAACGGCCACACTCCACAGCTCACATGATTTCGAATCTTCTTTTATAAAGCAAAATAATTTCGAATCATAGTTTTTCTCTCAGTCAAATTAAAATAACAGATGCTTAATTATATATAGGTAAATTACAACCACCCCTCAGGTACGGTGAATTTACAAAACCCCCCTCTTATTTGGGGAATTACAACCACCCCTCAACTATAAATCTTCTTACACGTTAACGGAATCTTCGAGATTACATATATGGAATATTATCACTTTTGTACACATCTTATCACATTCAAACTCCACATTTTGAAGCAAGATGATCATAATATGTGTTTTTTGGCTTGTATATATCAGATTGTGGTGCATCAGAAATTGTATTTTTACACAAAACGAGTACAAAATAGAGCACATTCGGCGAAACCTAGATGATTATGTTGAATTTGACACCATAAGGGTGGAGGTGTAAGAAAAAATCATAATTGAGGGGTAGATGTAATTATCCAAACAAGAGGGATTTTTTCGTAAATTGACCATGCCTCAGGGGTAGTTGTAATTTACCCTTATATATATAACAAGTGTAATATGATGAAGTTTTGAAATATAAATCAAGAAGTACAAAACTGCAAATGATTGCTTGGTTGTGGTGATCACAATTCTACAAAGCTTACAGATTTTCTCAATAGGAAGAAACAGAAACCCTAATCAGGGTTCGATTATCCAAAGTGTGGTAAGGTAGGAAAAATAATGTAAAAAAAGAAATAATATTATAACAATTTCCTCACAAAACTATTACGAGCTCCCGTCGATTTTATAAAACTCGAGCATTTCTTCTTCCACGGGGTGAGTTTCTCCTACTATGACGAGGCAGTGTAAAGGTGGACCGAAATCTACAGTCAGAAGTTGTTTCATCGAACCTGCCACTATCACCTGATCTTCACAACCTATTCGAGCTAATCCGACACAAGTAGAGTCTTCACCGTAAACTGCAATTTTCACAACAACAAAAAAAAAATTAATTAAAAGAAATAAGGATCCAATAAAAAAATTATAACAATGTGAAAGTTACCTGATTGCTCTTGATTTTGCGCCACCTCCAAGAGCTGCTCAATCGCAGTGTTTACTGTCATAAATCTCGGTGGCTCGTACACTTTTTTTCCTCTGAAATATCAAATTGTAAAGATTTAATTACTTCTCGAATTAATTAATATTACACAAAATACTAAATTAGGGTGACGTCTCGTCTCTAACCTGCACAAGGACTCTAGTGTAGGTTCTTTCACTCGTATATCTGCAAAAGCAAAAACATGCAACGATTTAAAGAATTAAGAATATAAATTGCAGCAGAAGGAGCTCATCGGTAAGGACATCTCTAATGTAAATTAAAAATAAATGTGCCAAAATATGCAAAATATCGATTTTACCTAAGAGGCAGAGTGTATGCAAACCAAGTGCTCGATTTCTTCTAATCTTTTCGTAAAAACTGTCAGGTCGCCAGGTGTCGGTGAAGAATGGTATGGAAACTGTCTCTCCGTAGCGGTAGAGCTGCAGCCCGCAAACACCAATAGCGTTCATCACCGATGCATTGTGCACTACTTTAACAACTACACCCAATTTATTTGCTCGGACGACAAGATCAGAGTGTGTGGTTGCTCTGCGTACAATTCACCCAATTCAACAATGAAAATCGAGAAAATGCAATCAAATCGTCAACAAATACGAATGGAGAAATATACCAATATTTTATCCAATCTCTAAAAAATAATACATCGATAACAGCAATTAAGCAATCAAGCAAACAAATGTTTCATTACATTTACATTAAATAACAAATTACAAAATTAGAAGAAAAAAAAAAAGAAAATTACCCAAAAGGGTCTCCGACGACCAAGAACGCCACGTCGGAAACTTGAGCTTCTAACAGCATATCATCTGACTTTTCCTCTACCATTTCCCTATCGGCAACAATAATTGGCTTCCCATAAACCTTTTCCTGCGAATTTATTCACAAAGATACAAACTTTATTGCATTAGCACCCAGTTAAATTGATTCCAAAAAAAAATTGAGAAAAAAAAAAGAGGAAAAACGAGAGCTACTAGTGTGGAAAGGCCATCGGAGGTAAGACCAAAGGAGAGGAGAGAAGTGTAAGCCTCCATGTAAACTTTGCTGCATTTCTTAATTGATTCGAGCCCTCTCAATGTAATGTCTTTCTCATCCCCCAACCCTAATCCTATTACATACAACATTTCACCTTGTCTTCTTCCTCTTCTTCTTCTTGGTCTTCTGCTATTTTGTGTGTGTGTTTGGGAAGACGACGCCTAAAACCCTAGAAAATTCTTGATTTGGGGATTTTTCAGGTTGGGCAGATTTGGGCCTGAACATTTTTTAAATGCTTGAAACTTAGTTAAATATTCGTATTCTTGTTTGGGCTTTCACAGAGCCCACAGTACTTTCTATTAATTATGTTGTGGCTTGTGGACTAGAGTGTGGGATTTCATAGGCTTAATTTCACTTTGCACTTTGCACCCGTGAAATGCACCATTTTATCACTTTGCACCCAAAAAAAATAATAAATGACACATTGCATCCTCAAAACATGTTTAATCGTTCAAAGTGCATCTTTGTATATTTTTCGGCCAT